GCGAGGTTTTCCGTAATACGATTGCAGTTGACATCGTTCACTCGATTCACATCAGTGTGTTGTGCCTTGATCTTTTTTGTTTCATTTGATAAAGAAATTGTCAGGAACAATAGAACGACAACCAATGTCTAAATAATTGAAAAAAAATACCAGTACAAGCAATAAACTAAGAAAAAAAATTTATTGGAATTGGGCTTCTCGTGCAGTTTAAAAAAAACACAAAAATTGAACTATCCTCCATCAAATGCCTTATAACTTTTGTTTCTCTTAGTGAAAAACAGTTTGAGTTTGACGAAAGAATTAGTTTCAATTAATAGTTTTTGATTCAAACTGTTGCTTGTGATCATTCATTCTTTTTCGCGCCAACATGACTAGTTTTGAGGGGGGAGCGCGTGCCAAGAAAACGCAATTTTTCGGTCAAAATTTTTCAAAAAGTGCCTAAAAAGACTTTTTTGGTCTGTTTTTTGAAAAACTTGCCTGCGGCGCACAACACTTTTTACACAATAGGGTCCTTATACTATTTTAGGAGAGTTTGGAAAATCAAATTGGTCGACTTGAAAAAAGTCCACGAAATTTGCATTTTTTTTTCTCGAAAACACCCCCCCCCCCCAGAAAACTTTCTGCGCACGCAACTGGGTTCAAGTTATACCATTTAAAGTATATTTCAAACGCTCTTATTCATCAACTTTCCTTTTATTATTCACAAAAACAACAATTGTTTCGCGTCACTGACACACTGGCAAAAAATTTTTTGAAAAAAGTCGTGGCTTATACTTGCGCTCATCTGTTTTCATTTTCCAATCAATTTAGTTTATGCGAGCTAATGCTTTTGATAAAAATTCTCACAACTTTTTTCAAATGAAAGTTCAATCAACAACCCCGTACCCAGCAAATACTTTTGAAATGTTTAGAAAAACATATAATAATCTGAGCTATGCTTAGTGCTTTTGAACAAAAAAATCTATCTCTTATCTGACATTAGAAACAAGCAATTTCAAGAGAAGTCTAAGCTCATTCCACCGCTCTACCATTTCATGCTAGATCTAAACGTTTTGAGTATACAAAATAGTGTAGCATCATGATGAGTTAAAAAAAATTCCCTCTGTCACCTCCGGTATAAAAGTATAGTACTGTGTACTCTAGCAGGGGCGGCGGATCTAGGATTTTCTCGAGAGAGGGGGATTTTCAAAAAAAAAAGTTCGAAAACTTTTTCGACCGTTCTTTTAAGATAGATCAATCTAATTTAATGATATCTCACGAATGACTTATAAAATCCCGATTTGACCAAACTTTCTGCTCCGCAGGCAAATTTTAGAAAAAACGGGCCGAAAAATTGAGCTTTGAAAAAATTTGCTAAAATTATATATTGGCGCCAAAAGCGTCTTAAGAAAAATGGGCCAAAATGCCGCTCAACTGTCATCATGTATCTTTAAAAACGCTCGCTCGAAATTTCAAAAAACTTGATTAATTCCCAGTTTAATTCCATAGTTTGATTTGCACTTACTGCCAAAACAACAACGGCAATCACCAATGCGATCATCATAGCCATGAAACATTTCACAGGCCAATTATTAGCTTGCGGCTCTTTGTCTTCCTTCCGTCCGCCGCTGCGCTGAGTATTCGCCGGCTCCTCGTAAACATATTTGCTACCGGAAACCTGCTCATTTTGTTCAATGTTCGCCGACTCCTCATAAACGCTATCTTCTCGTTTGTTACCGGAAATCTGCCCATCTGCATTAACATTACGAGTCCAAACTGTGCACTGGATAGGAGCCTATTTTGTGTCTGTATGTTCCTGGATTCAAGAGACAAGTCTTTGAACATGTTAAAATTTTGTCGAAACAATCAAAGGAAATGAAAGAACAAAAGAAGAACAAAGGGAGCGTCCTTGTTGCGGAATCCGCTTACAATGCACAAAATGCACAGTTTGGCCTCGTAATGGATGTTCGAGTTAGATTCAGTATTTTGAAGTTGGAAAATAACGTCACCAGTCGTTGTTTTGAAAGATGCCATTTGCGTGTTGTTTATTAAAAATATTGGTTACCCCTTTTTTAAATGCGCTTGTAAAGTTTATGTGTAACCACTGATATCAAGAACCGTTCTCTTATCTATCTTTTTTATTTACTGTACAAACGTTCAAATAGTTTTATGAACGACTAAGAATCTGGCGCTCTACCTGGCTTATGTAAAAAAAGCAAGTTAGCTACTCTAAAATATCATTCATAATCCATTTAAAACTATTTTTTGGTAATTTAATCAAATGCGCTCGAACTATTATTTACGTCGAGTTAAAACTAGTTTTAATGTACTTTTATCAAAATACCATAAATATCTCTGATCATATCAACTGTGACTTAAAGGTAATTTAAGAAAAATGCGGTATAAAAAATCTAATTGTGATTCACATGCAGAACATTGATTTCTTGCAGATTTTTTTTTGCGGTTCTCATCTAAACCGAAGACATTGTTTTGCTTTCCGTATACGGCGGCGCTTCTGGCATGGTAGGATACTGCTGATAACCCCCAGAATCTGAAACTGGGTACGGAAGCAATTGCTCCTGCGAACTTTGATGAGGTTGGTTATAAGACTGACCCCCTGATGGCGGGCAAGGATTTGGGTTCGGCTACTAGTTGTTGTAGGCCCCTGGATAATGTCCAGGTGCTGCTGATTGGTTGGTGGGTTTGTACTGGTACCCTTGTAGTATGTTTGGGTTTTAGTAGTTGGGAGCACATCCAGGTGCAGTTGGGGGCTAATGTTGCTTGGAAAACAAAAAAACTAAAACAAACCAAAATACAAAGATCCTACACATTTCTCAAATGGTCGGAACAACAGCAAAAAGTCTAGTGAACATTGGCAAAAGTAGATTTATCAAAAAAGAATCTTGGAGACACAGGGAGCTCTATGGAGCTAAGAGCTGTTGCAAAATAAATTATTCCCGAGATCGTATCCCATGTATTAGCTCTTTTTCATGCTTTTGGTTCTTTTGAAGTTGTGCACCATTGTCAGAGCAAAGTTGATAGTAAAACTGTTTAATAACTAACATATACACCAGTGGATAAAATAAAGTGCAGATTCTGAACTTTTGTCTCTAAAATGCATGTTTTCGCGTATGATTTGAACAAAATTTACTGTAAACTTAAATCAAACTTTTCACCCAGACCAATAGCAAATGATCAGAGCTTCCCTCCGTGAAATTTTTCAAATTTGGTTTCCAGGACTTAAATTCACAGTTTTTTGGGTCAGAACAGGCCATTTTAACAATTCACTAGGTTTTGCATCGGTGTGAACTTCTTTATGAATGAGTGGAGAAAAATATTTTCAAGCGATTTGAAACATTCTAAGCAATAAAATTGATTTGTTCAGTATTCATTTATTAGTCTAGAAATTTTTTAGTCTATGTAAAATTTTGTTGAAATTCTTTGTCAAAGATGTGCGAAATCATTCTTTGACCCAGGGCTGGATCTAGAATTTTCTCGAGGTGCCAGGGACGGATTTCCAAAATTTTCCAAGCTCTTCAATTTTCAAGCTCTCCGCAGGCAAAATTTTAAAAAAACAGGCCAAAAAAGGCGTTTTAGGCATTTTTGGAAACTTTTGACCTAAATATCGTGTCAAGGCGCTTCTAGAAATTTATCAGGGACAGTCAGCCAAAAAATGGACATCTCAAAATAGAATTTGGGGGCTCCTTTGGGTCACCAGTGGTTCGAATCCCCGAGGGAGGAGAGCGTTGAACACAAGCGCTTTAGAGATAAAACCCAAGTTTGCGCTTATTTTTGTTCACCATTGTATATGCTATTTTCAACAAAATTCAAGTCAGCTATTGGACGCGTTACTAGCCATTATTTTTACAACTTTGGTTACACCTTTGACTCAAATTAGTTGTCCAAAACATGATGCTCTATTTTAAGAATTACAGGGTTCTCCTGTTTGTATTACTCCCCTGATATACTGCTCTGTTGAAAATTGCATCCATCAACTTTCGCACAGTTTTGTACCCCTGATCCTAAGAAAATCATATTTTTAATTTTCTAGAAAAGTTCCATAGAATTTTTATAAATTGTACCTTGATTTGCCAATCAATAGCGTAGAAAAGAGACAAGTGTTTCTGAAAAATTAGGTCACCAAATTTTCTGCACAAGGTTTTAGCGTTTTGGCAAACTCTCCACTCAGAAGAACGACAAAAAACTACGAAAAAACAGTCCAGACTTTTATATTTTGTATTGACTAAGCTACGTTTTCTTTATCTTGCTATCGTCAAGCAGACCGAACTTCAGACTGACGCAGATGGACACGCGTGAAGTTTTTGCTTTCGAAATACAGTGTTGATTTAAATTATCCGGACAAAACGAACAAAACTTGAATTTTCAAACGCGTTTTTCTCAAATTGGGTTAAGATAGACAAAAAGTGAAGAGAACAAAAGTTGCTTAGAATTTCACCAAAATTAATATGAAGCCACTTTTTCTCCGAAATTCTCAACAAAAATTTTACCCCAAAAATGGGTCATTTTGGCTTTTTTCAATCAATCAAGAATTACGCGGAAACTACTTTGTTAATTGATAAAAAAATTATATCACAGGAAGCCTCTTACGCAGTTCAACAAAGTTTAAGAAGGGTTAAATCTCCAAAAACCAGTATAAGAGAAAAAAATTTTCACTTGATAATCAATAAATGTGATTTTTACTATATAAAACCCAGAATCTCTGTTTTAAAATATATTATCTTATATATTACTTTTGTTGAGAATTTCGGAGAAAAAATGGCACTATATTAATTGTGGTGAAATTCTAAGCAACTTTTGTTCTCTTCACTTTTTGTCTATCTTAACCCAATTTGAGAAAAACGCGTTTGAAAATTCAAGTTTTGTTCGATTTGTCCGGATAGTTTAAATCCGCACTGTATACAGTGCTGATTTAAATTAACCGGACAAAACGCGTTAAACTTCAAAGTTAAAACGCATTTTTCTCAAATTGGGTTGAGTTTAGGAGAACATTTATGAAGACAAAACTTGGTTAAAATTTTAGCAGAAGTAATATGGTAAAATTTTTGTTGCGAAGTTCGGGCCCAAAATTTTACCCAAAAAGTGGGTCATTTTGGTTTTTCTTAGTTAATCAAAAATCACGCCGAATATACTCAGTCGATCACAGACATAATTGTATCAAAGGGAGCCTCTTATGTAGCCCAACAAACTTTATGAAGGGTATTCTCTCCAAAAGAAATTTGGAAATTGTTTAAAAATTGTTTTTAAATAAAAAATTGGTATTTTATATAGTAAAAACGACCTTTTTTGTCTATCAAACAAAAATAAATTAACTAACCAAATATTTTGGAGATTATACCCTTCTTAAAGTTTGTTGGGCTATGTAAGAGGCTCCCTTTGATATAATTATGTCTGTGATCGACTGGGTAATTTTGGCGTAATTTTTGATTAACTAAGAAAAGCCAAAATGACCCATTTTTGGGGTAAAATTTTTGGGCCCGAATTTTGCGAAACAAATTTCAGCATATTAATTCTGCTAGAATTTTAAGCAAGTTTTGTATTATAAGTTTTCGCCTAAACTCAAACCACTTTGAGAAAAACGGGTTTTAAATTTCAAGTTTAACGCGTTTTGTCCGGTTAATTTAAATCAACACTGTAGCAGTGCTTTAACTATTATCAGTAAAGTGATATATAACATATGTTTTCAACATGTTTTCTTGCTGTGTTTGAAAAAAATCGTCTTTTGTTATGGCGCAATTTATAAAAAAAAATTGTGCATTATTTGGAAAACTATTGAAAAATTTGAAAAAACAAGTGCAATATTCGGATCACTTGTGCAATATTGTTACTAAACTTCTCAATCAACGATAGAAGAGTATGTTTTTGCTGTTTCATACCTGCTCTTTCACGACAAGTCATGAATAAAATATGAAATATTAGAACGCATGAAAGAGAAAAGAAATCATTTGCATAGTTTTGAGCACTTTTGCGAGCTTTTTTTTGAAAGAAGTCAGATAAAAATAATTGAAACAGCAAAACAAACAGAAATAGCAAAAACATATTTCTCAACAGTTAGAACATAGTTGAAGATGGTCTCGGCCTTGGGAATTTCGTGTCCTCAGGCCGCGCTCTTTTTTTCTCGGGCATCTTTCAACTATGTTCTAACTCAGAAAAAATCACCTAATAGCGTGAAAATTTTTCAAGGGAGTGTTTTTTTTCCGTTTTTTTCTTGCATGTGGTTCATACCAGATAATTGACAGCTTATATTATATCTTGTAAATTGTTCTTATCTCGAACCCGCGTGTCTCGATTTCATCGCAAAATTTCTCGGTCAAATTATAGCTGTTCTCCTAAATGAATCTTATTTTCGTGCTTTGTTAGAACATCAAATATTTGAAACAGATAGAAAAGACTACGTGTTGGTCAGAGCGTTTTACACTAGTGGACAAAATTAAGCGCAATTTCAGGATTTTACTCTGTAAACGGCCTGTTTTTAATGTTAATTTTGAACGACATTTCATTCCAAATTCAGTAAAATTTTTACATTGACCGAGAGCGAATGGTCAGAGCCATCATCAGTGAAAGTTCCAATATTTGGTTTCAATGACATTCCAATGTAATCCAGATCCAAAAGTACCAGTTTTCCTCACCTGAACAAAATTTTTTACTTCGCGTGGATAAGTAACAAACTGAGTTTAAGTCTGAGTTTAATAAAAGTTCACGCTGATTGTTTTCATTGTCATTTTTTGATATATTTTCTTTGAATATCAGTAAATATGTATCATGCGACGTGGAACATTCTTAGTAAAAAAATGAATTAATCAATGTAAACTACTTACCAAATTCGGCTGTTTCTTTTTTTTTTCACGCAAAGTCAAAAATTTAGTCTAAAAAATTGTTCTATAGAAAAAAGTCTGAGTTTGCGCTTCGTTCTCTAGTGTATCTGAAAGTTTGCACCAGCTGTTTAAGTTTTTCTCAGATACTTAGCTTCAATATACCAGCAGTTAATTAGTTTTTCTAATTTTCGAAAACATCTGTCCAAGGTTTTTTTAAAAAACCATCGTGTGTTTTAGAACAAAGCAAGTTTTTAAGTGAGATCATTTTTTTCTTTGATTATTTAAAAAGCGGTGATATGGTTCCTTTCGCATTTATCATATCAGTAAGCTAAAAAAAACAGGTATCTAAAAAAA